AGAAGCCTTTTGCACCCACGTATCGGGACAGCACGGCTTTTTGTACCCAGTATGTACTTCAGACCCAGTGATGAAAAATACCAGGCAGGCCTCATGAGAAGGGCCCAGGGCACACCCGGTCAGCCGCCTCAGTTCAGTGTACCAGGCTTCTATAGATGTTTCTACAATGACTCTTAAATTATTAAAATAAATACAGACAACTAGAAACCCTGAACATCCTATCTAAAAATGGACATAAGAGGACTCCAGAAGGTGGAAAGCAGGCAGACTGGCTGGGCACCATGGCACTCGGGCCACGACACCGTGGTAACTTACCAGAGTTTTCTTCCTGGTCTCACAGATCCCAGACTTGGAGGTAAAGAAGTTGGCAACCCAGAAATGCCAGTAGGCCCAGGCAGACCGGAAAGCCCCAACAAAAGCCTGCCCTCTCTCGCTAAAGGACCAGGAAAGGGGCAACCTTACAAGACAGAAAACTCCTGGACAGTAATGCTCTACTCTAGGCAAACCTCCCAGGAAAAATGTGCGCTCCAGCCTGACCCACACAAGCAGAGGTCAGTGGGCCTGACCCACACGAGCACAGTCACCAGGCTGAGGAGGCGCCCAAATCCTCCACCAGGGTGGGGTCAGAGAGGCCGAGTGAGGAGTTAGGACTCGTCCCTGTGGGGCACTGAGCACCCCTTCCTCTGTGTCAGTGGGGGCCACATGGGGGCCTTGAATCCCACCCCCATCCACCAGGTACAAGGCTCCACGCCCCCCCTCCACCATGGTGTCTGTGGAGGCCACGTGGAGAGTACCAATATGCACCCTTCCCCTCCCCGCCAGGGAGGCATCGGTGTGAGGGGCCCGAACTCCCAACCCCGCTCCGCAGTAAAGCGGGCCTCCCTTGGGGTGCCACAGAAGGCCCAGTAGGGAACCCGACCTGTACTCCCCACTCGGTAGTAACAGGGCACGGCAACCCTTTCCACTATTGGAAGCAAGGTCAGAGGAAGCCAGCTAAAACAGTTCTCCATGAGCCCAGAGGCTCATAACACAATACTGAAGATGTCCAGGTTTCAACCAGAAATCTCAGAAAGATCTCAACTGAGTAAAGAAAGACAATAAGACACCCATACCAAGATGACAGAAGTGTTAAAATTCTCTGACAAAAGATCTTAAAGCAGCCAGCAGGAAAATGCTTCAAGAGAACATGCTTGAAACAAATGAAAAATTACGTCTTGGAAAAGAAATAGAAGCTATAACAAAGAACCAAATGAAACGTAATAGTTAAATTAAAAACTCAATGCGTGGGTTCAACAGCAGAATGGAGGGACAAGGGAAAGAACAAGTGTACTGGAAGATAGAATAAAAATGATCCATGGGGCGCCTGGGTGGCTCGATCGGTTAAGCATCCGACTTCAGCTCAGGTCATGATCTCACAGTTCGTGGGTTCGAGCCCTGCACCAGGCTCTATGCTGACAGCTCAGAGCCTGGAGCCTGCTTCCGATTCTGTGTCTCCCTCTCTCTCTGCCCCTCCCCTGCTTGCACTCTCTCTCTCTCTCTCAAAAATAAATAAACATTTAAAAATTAAAAAAAACAAAGATGTAATCTGAGCCACACAGAGAAAATAGACCAAAAAAAAAAGTAAACTGAGCTTCTGGGACCTGGGGGTCCATAACAGCAAATCTAACATACATGGTCTCAGACTCTGTAATGTAGAGCAGAGAAAAAAATGGGCCTGGAAAATTATCCACAGACGTAATAACTGAGAACAGTTTGTGTGTTGCTGGTGGGAGTGTAAAGTGATAACGATCTGTCTGGAAAATAGTTCAATAGTTCTCTCTCTCTCTCTCTCTCTCTTTTTTGTAATGTTTATTTATTTTTGACAGAGAGAGAGAGAGAGAGAGAGAGACAGACAGCTTGAGTGGGGGAGGGGCAGAGAGAGAGGGAGACACAGAATCTGAAGCAGGCTCCAGGCTCCGAGCTGTCAGCACAGAGCCCGACGCGCGGCTCAAACTCACAGACCTCAAAATCATGACCTGAGCCAAAGTCAGACACTTAACCGACTGAGCCACCCAGGCACCCCTCAGTAGTTCTCTTTTTAAACCAAGTAGCTACCATATGACCTAGTAATGGCACCCCCAGGCACTTATCCCAGAGAAATGAAAACTTAACAAGAATCTGTGCACAAATGCCCATAGAAGCTTTGTGCACTGTAGCCAATAACTAGAACCCACCCAGATGCCTTTTAGCGAGTACATGGTTAAACTCGCTAATACATCCACACTGTGGAACACTACTCAGCAGTAAGAAGGAACAAACTATGGACACGTGCAACGCCCTGGATGAATCTCCAGGGAATGATGCTGAGTGAAAAAAGCCAATCCCACCGGGTTACATACTGTAACGTATGTAACATTACCACCAAGTGGAATTAACAAGGTGCAGCAATTTACATGTACTAGAGGCTCTTGTAACAGATTGTAAATTATTCCATTTATATAACATTTTTGAGATGACAAATTGTAGAAATGAAGACTAGATTACTTACTGCTAGGGGCTCAAGAGGAGGTGGTGGAAGGGAAGTAGGTGTGGCTATAAAAGGGCAACAGGAAGGCATCCTTGCAGTGATGGGAATGTTCTGTATCTTGACTGTATCAATGTCAAAATCCTGATTGTGATCTTGTACCAGAGTTCTGCAAGATGTTACCATGGGAGGAAACTGGGTAGAAGATGCAAAAGATCTCTCTGTATTATTTCTTACCAGTGCACGCGAATCTGTAATTATCTCACAGTAAAAAGTTTAGAAAAATAAATTCATGTCCTTTTAGAAAACACAAGTGAAAAAGAAAAATCCTCATCCCATCCCCCAGAGTTAACCACTGTTAGCATTTTGATGTGTTTCCTTCCTGATTTTTCTGTGTTTTTTTTTTTTAAGTTTTTTAAAATTTATTTATTTTGAGAGAGGGAGAGTGTGCGAGAGGGAGAAAGAGAGCGCAGGGGTGGGACAGAGAGAGACAGAGAGAATCCCAAGCAGGCTCCGTGGTGCCAACTCAGAGCCCAATGCGGGGATTGACCCCATGCAGAACTGTGAGATCATGACCTGAGCCGAAATCAAGAGTTGGACACTTAACTGCTGGAGCCACCCAGGCGCCTTTCCTTCCAGATTTTTCTATGCATACAAATATTTGCCTTAAAAAGTAGCACCATGCTACACATAGGACAACACATGCTTTCTTCCATCAACCAGAGTGAAGTCTTAACACCAGGTTCTTAACATTCCACATTGTTTCTCACTGTTAAACACTGCCAGGATGCACAAATTGTGCCTACATCCCTGTGCAAGGCTTTTGAGTACTTCCTTTCGATAAATTGCCACCAAGTGGAATTAACAAGGTGCGGCAATTTACATGTACTAGAGGCTCTTGTAACAGACCGTCAAACTTCCCCCCACCCCGAGAAACACCCTAATTTCTACTTCTAACATGCGATGTGTTGTCTTTACCATTTGTGTGGAAACAAAACACTATACACCTGTCTCCCACTTAATAACTTTAATTCCTCTTGAAAACCCTGCCAGGAGGCAAGGCTTTTCAATGGAAAAAAAATTGTTTTCATTAATTTTAATGGAAAAATGATATGTTTAACCTCAGTCCAAGATGCCTCCAGATTTTCACGGGTACGAAATTGTCAAGTGAACATTGAAACTGAGTTTATATAAGTAATAATAGTTTCAAAGTAAATCAATGCCTTTTTTCGGTTCATAAAATTCAGTGCCATGAAGGTCCGCTGTCCCCACCAAAGGGACAGGTCGCAGTTCTCCAGCTGCACATCCCATAAAGTCAGGGCATGGAAAACACTGGGCGGTGAGCGCAAGAGTGCTTCCAGAGATGGATCAAAATGTTTGGGGTTCATCTCCTGTGCACACCTCAGATTTGTTCCATTGTCATGTTCTCTGGCTTAGAAAATAGTGTGTCCGGTAAATCGGTGAGTCAAATGTCGCTTGTGGGTTAGTCAGCTCGGGCCCCCGTGACAAAATACCACAGACGGGGCAGCTCAACAACAGAATCTTTTTTTCTGAGAGCCCTAGAATCTGGAAGTCCAAGACTGAGGTGTCTTCTTGGTTTGTTTCTTCTGGGGCCTCTCCTCTTGCAGATGTCTGTCTTGCTGTACCTTCACACGGTCTTTCTTCTGTGTCTACATCCCTGGTGTCTCTCTATGTGTCTAGATTTCCTCTTATTATAAGGACACCAGTCCCATTGGATTGAGGCCCACCCTAACGGCCTAACGGATTAACTCAATCCCCTCTTTAAAGGCCCGTATCTTTAAATACAGTCACATTCTTGGGTACTAGGGATTGACTATTCAACATGTGAATTGAAGGGGTGGGGACACACCATTGAGTGCATAACAGTTTCTTATTGCATATTTTGTTTGTGGGCTTCGGGGTGAAAATGTCAATGTACCCCCCCCCCCCCCCCCCCCCCACACACACACACGCACACAAAGTTGTTGAACAAATGATACAACTTCACAAGAGCCATGATGGTAAAAATTGATTCACAGGATAGCTGTCACCAGATACAGGTCTATGTATGTATCTTCTCCGGAACGTGCGTAGACTGCATTGGGAGGAGTCCCAAAATGGTAACAGGTGCATCAAGAGTACAAGCTGGGTGGCTGGGGTCAGAGTCAGGAGGATTCACGATCTGCTCTGACGCATCGTGTGACTTTGGCTCCCCACGCGTGTGCTGATGTGTATTCTAACAAGGGCAGAAAATACGACTCAAACTCAGGGACTGACTTGACCCCTCTGTAATCGCAGGCCCCCCCCCCCATCTGTCTCGTGCTGTGCTACGTCCACAGGCCCTGCCGCAGAGTCGGGCACAGAGGAGGTGTCCAGTAAGGGGGCAGACAGAACGAATACATGAACAGCTCCGTGAACTGCTCGCCCGGTGTTTGGACACAGGGACCCTGAACAATCCTCCCAGTGACCCTCTCTGTCTTTCCTCTTCGGTTTGCAGACGGCAGCAGAGGCCTCCGGGAGGGAACAAGCCCCAACAGCATGGTGACCACCAGCCAGTCAGTGCCAAACACAACAGGGACCACCAGAAATCCTACCAGGGGGGCTCGGTGCCTCACCCCTCAGGGAGGCCCACTCATCACGGCTACAGCCAGAACCGGCGCTGGCACCACAGCAACATGAAGCACCCGCCAGGCGACAAGGGGGAGGCAGGCGCCCACCGCAATGCCAAAGAGACCGTGACCGTGGAGAGCCCCAAACTTGAGGATGCCCTGGGGGACACCGGGCACGGCAGCCTCGAGCCCCCCCGCAGCCCTGATGCCCCAGCCTCAGTGGCTTCCGAGAGGCTGCCCCCACCGCAGCCGGGGGGTCCAGAGGCCGAGACAAAGCGTAAAGACAGTATTATTCCCGAGCGCATCGGGGAGCGGCCCAAAATTACCCTGCTCCAGTCTTCCAAAGACAGGCTGCGGCGAAGGCTGAAAGAAAAGGTACCGGTAAATGAATTTTCGTTGTTCTCTTGTACCAGGGAAGACATCGTGAGGTAGGCACTTTGGTAGGCGGGCTTGGGTTTGAGGCGGCCACCACTGCCTCGGGGACTGCTGGCCACCGGAGGACTGGCCCGTACGTGAACCCCCTCCGGCACATTCTGGCTCCTCACCTTCTGGTCCCCCAAGAGGCCGAGGTGGGCATTGGGCACCAGCCCGCAGCCTGGGAGGGAAGGGGAGGAAGAAGCATGTACCTGAGGGGGATGGGAAGCGTGCAGGGAAGGCTTGGTTCTTGCCTCCAGCATTTTCTGGGGTCCGACACTGCCCTGACAGTGCTAAAGGGCATTTGGGAAAGACTGGGAGCTCGTACGATAAGGACGGATGCTTCCCCCCCAAGGTAAGCGCCGGCCAGCTGTGGTCCCCGCCAGGGTCGAGAGCAGAGGTGAGTTGGGCAGAGTGCGAGCGGGTCTCGATTTTGCCATTCTCCTCCTTGATCCGCCAGCGGCCCAGGAGGCGTCTAAGGGACAAAACTGAAGGAGGCCCTCAACCCCAGCCTCACACGGGTGCCGACTGTGCTCCGACACCAGCCCTGAGAGGAAGGGCCTTCGTAACTGTTGCCCCCACCCCCACCAGCCTCTCTTTCTTCACTGTATCCTGACCGTGGCCCCCAGAGCCTGGTTCACTGATTCAAGGGGACGTGTCCCTGAGCCTCTAGCAAAGGCATAAGGCTACGTCAATGGCAGCATCGTGTCCACTGTGCTCACCCTGGCCCCCCTTCCCTGCCAGGGATGCAGGAAAGGTCACCTTGGAGAGGAACTGCTCCTGAGAAAGGCCGGCTGGCCCCCAGCCCTCCCCACAGAGTCCTCATTGTGAGGCTTCTGCGGAGCTCGAAGCTCTGGGCTTCTCTCTGGCCTCTCACTGCTGCTTTCTTTCCTCCCCCTTTTGCCTGAAAGGCCAAGCCCAGGTCCACACTCGGGCAGGACAAGGCAGGTCAGACCCCTTCCCCAGCCAATGCTTGAAGCTGCACCTGCGTCCTTCACAGCCCTGAGCTCCCGCCCCGCTGCCCCCGGTGGGGAAGCAGCTGTGAGGTCCAGAGGGAGAGCCTCCCTCATTTCCTTCCTTCTCAGAGGTGGGAGCCTGGAGACCAGGCCGGTGGCATGTAGTGACCAGCGTGGTGACAGTGCGTAGGGTCCTCCTAAAGACCCGCCGAGACACATTCCTCAAAGCCTGGCCACAGAGAGGGGATTACTCACTAAATTCCCTCCAGTCCTACTAAATGTAGCTGGTGCTTTAGGGCCCAGCAAACCACCTGCTGCTCCTCACTCTGCCTTTGACTGGCTGGGTGACCTTGGACAAGTCCCCTAACCTCTCCGAGCCCCAGTTGACTCATCTGTAAAATGACAGCAATACCGCATACCTTGCAGACAGGCCATGGCATGCATAAAGACCTCCTGGGTGGTTCTTACTTTATATACTGCCCGGGGGCCCGGATGGTGGGGCAGTGGGGTGGATAAGGAAGGGATTAGAACGGGTAAGATAGGTCCATAGCACCCATACACGGGTTTCGAGCACTCCCCTTAGGTGAGGCCTCCCGGATTCCCAGAGCAGGAGGACATTGGCTAAGGCCATAAGTAGGGCTCAGGGGAAGCTCGACATCATCCAGGCGCCGCATCTTCCCAGGAAGTAGACTGAGGCCCAGAGAGTGAAACCACTGCCCACAGCCATACAGCTAGAGGCAGAAAGCAGGTTCGAGAACTCTGGTCTGTGCCTCCCGGCCTAGAGCTCTCCTGGTTGGGAATAGGAGGGCAAGCGCGGGACCCCACTTTCTGTCCCTGACCCTGCCCTTCTTCCCTGATCTCCCATCCCAGTAGGTAGGGCAGTCACATTCTTGGCCACCCATCCATTGTATTTGAATAAATACTTTTGAGACTATCAGATCTGTCCAGGCCTGGTCTACGTGCAGTGAACCTTCTTAAAGGTGTAGAGTTAGCTGTCTGAAATTTCCTTCCTAGAAGTGCCCATCCATTTAGTGGCACACTGGAGGGCTCCCCGGGGTATAGCGTTTGTTACAGAAGGCCAGCACAGTCTCCACAGGACATAAAACCAGGGCCGTGTTTATCCAGATCTGGCAGCCTGGAAAGCAAGGTGGCCATTCCGTGGGCACCTTTTACCAATATAGCAGACATTTTGAATACTTTCCTCCTTCCTGCCCTCGTTTTCTCTTTGACCCAGTTTTTTGTTTTGTTACCTTATTTCATCTTTTACAAGCCCCATTGGGTCATTCCTAGCTTGAGACCTTCGATGGGCACGTACACAAACAGAACCAATATATGTGGGAATCCTGGGTAAGAGCTAGAACTTGCAAGAAAGATCAGCCCCTAAGAGCCAAGAAAAAGGTCAGCAGAGGGCCTTGGTGGTTGGGGGTCCTAGGTGGAGGTCAGCATTCCCAGAGGGACCAGACCTCAGGTTCATGAAGGTAGGGCTGGGTCCTTGCTGGGGGCAGCAGGCCTCCCTCCACTGGCCACCCCCAGTGGTATCCTCGGCTCCACTGAGGCACGACTCAGTTTGTCTCCCACGCCCCCAGGATGAAGTGGCCGTGGAGACCACCAACCCTCAGCAGAACAAGATGGACAAGTTGATTGAGATCCTCAACAGCATGCGGAACAACAGCAGTGACGTGGATGCCAAGCTCACCACCTTCATGGAGGAGGCCCAGAACTCGACCAACTCCGAGGAGATGCTGGGAGAGATCGTCCGGACCATCTACCAGAAGGCCGTGTCCGACCGCAGCTTCGCCTTCACGGCCGCAAAGCTCTGCGACAAGATGGCACTCTTCATGGTGGAGGGGACCAAGTTCCGGAGCCTGCTCCTCAACATGCTTCAGGTAACCGGACACCGACAGCTGAGCCTCCCCTCCCCCGCCCCGCCGCGCCCGCCAGTGGGTTATTACTAGAGAGAAGGCTGCAGATTCTGACCACAGTTGAACTTTTCCCAAGTTCCACCCTTGCCCGATTAATTATAGAAAATAAAAAGGCACTTGACGGGCACGGGATGAGTGGCCGGATTTGCGTGTGTTTGTGTGAGTGATCCATGGTTACGATGGACCAATATAATTTTATAGGTGTTTCGTGTTTAACCAGCCTTTCCCTCTTTCTATTTCCACGATAAGAGAGCTGATCCTTGCTCTTCACCAGTGTCTGTGCTTTGACCTCTCCGCGTCCGAACAGATGTGAACCGGGTGTAGACTTCTTTCCTCCTCCCGCCCCGGACCACCACCCCCAGGCCCTGGAGGTGGTGTGGCTGGAGCTGAGCAGGAGGTACAAAGGCTTTGAGCAGGAGAGGTGTGATCTTCTTGCCGATACACTGGGCTTCCTGAAACCACTCTTAGGGCAAAAGGGAAGTGTGGCGACCTAAGACTATCTTGTTCCTCGGTGCCTTCCAGCTCAAAATCCCACCTCCCCCCCTTTTCGCTCCTTCCTCCATGGGTTCGCCGCATCCAGTGCTGGTTTCGTGACCGTGAGCGTGTAGTGTCGGTAAGGGTGTGGGTGCGCAGACTAAGGCCAGCGCTGTTCCATCCCACGAGCCAGGGGCCGATCCCTGCCCTTCTGTCACGGGTGCTAGCAGGTAAACTGGTGGCATCAGAGGAGAGGTAGCAGGTGGCCCGGCATGGCCACCATGGCTGGGGCCTCTTGGCTGGAGAAAAGTCTTCTGTAGTGTGACTTTGTACCTTAGGCTAGTTGAGATGTGAATTGAGTTTCCAGCCCAGGTGAGGTGAGACTAGAGCCTGGCGGTTTGGAAAGCAGGGGTGCAGAGTGGGCAGAGACCACTTGCGGGTCTGTCTGAACAAGGGCGACCGTGTGACAAGTCATCCAAACTACAACCGTCCTGAGAGTCGCGAGGGCTCTGTTTGTAATTACGCCCAGACACCAGGCGTAAACCAAGGCATGTGGTCGCCTTGGTCTCAACCACCTGGTTCGAAGTCTAAGGTCTCCTCCTAAAAAACAGGGAGGAGGGAGCCCCCTCCCCCCCACATGCTGCCCACAGGGCTCCATCCCCGCCCTCCTCCCCTCTTCCTGGGGAGAGCCTGCTCACTGCAACCCGAGCCCTCGCTGGCCAGCCTGGCCTGCTTCTTTCCAGCTCCGGGCCCCGATCAGGTTCCCATTCCTGGATCGCCCACGCTCCCCTGGTGACGAATTCCCGCATTACCTGAGGGATTTGCACATCGGGCATGTTCCTCACGGGCCGGAATGTCCTGGGAGAGTGTGGAGGGTGACGGCCGGGAGCGGCCTGTCTGCCACGTCCTGCCAAGCATGGGGGAGTCAGGGCCGGGATCGGCCATTCGCCTTGGATTTAGATCTTTTTCCGAGAAGGGCCAGGATAGGACAAGACTTCTAGACAACGGCTGCCAGCTCCAAGTAACCCAGCCAGAACCAGTGGCGGACAGACATACAGGGCGTGCGGACGAGACGCACCCAGCTGGGAAGGGCAGCTGGCCGCAGGGGCCGCCCAGGATCCTGCCCGGGTCAGGCATTTCTTCCAATGACCTGTGGTTAGAGCAGCCTTGCCCACGGTGTCCGGCAGGGCATCAATCCTGGGAAATGCTCAACCACAGAAGGGGCTCCGTGGCGCGCCCGCCTCTCCGTCAGCCACAAAGTGGGCTGGCTCAGCACAGCAGGAAGGGAACCTGTTTGGCCGCACTGAACTCAACAGAGTCTCCTTTGCATCCCCCAGCTAATAACTTCTTCTGGAATTAGTATGCCAAGAGGCCTGGTCTGGCAAACACGAGCTAGGGCAAGAACACTAACCTGAATGCTGGGAAACAGGGCTTTCCGACCTGATTCAGGGGTCATCAGCTGGAACTGGACCTCTGAGGCTCCCGCTGGGACGTGCGTGGCTTGGGGGCTTGACGCCCATCAGGGGACCTTACGGTTTTGCGCTGCCGGCGATGAGGCGGGGGCCTCGAGGAGGGGCACGAGGGGCCCCACGCAAGCCTCCTCCTCCCTCACTTTCCCTGGGCCCTTCCACTGCAGGAAACAGTCCCAGGTGCCCCTAGTCCTCAGAAACCTGCCCACCCCCTAGTGTGCCTCAAGGACAGGTACGTCATGTGCTTTGGGAGACGGCCCTACTGATGCCATCTTGTCCCTGGAGCAGAGGAGGGCTCTCAGCCCCACATCTGCCACTTGCCTGGGTAGAGCACTTGTGGATTAGGTATTTAGAAACCTAAATGTCCCCCGTTGGCCCCCACTCACCCCATCTTCACCACCCGCAGCCCCAGCTTTTGCGTAAGCTAAGGAGAGAACCCCTCGAAGGGCTTGAGCCAGACGCTCACTTTCAAGGCCCTTCAGGCTCCCATGGAGGGCAGACTGGATGTGCGCGTGTACGGCTGCCCCGAGCTCCTGACGGATCAACTCCCTGGCTGCGAGGCCCAGAGGAAACCACCCCCCATGGGTCTGATTGGGCCTCCTCGGGCCCTGCTGCTTCTCCCAGCCGCTGAGGAGGGGACAGATTGAAGTCAGCTTTCCAGGCAGTATGATTGATTCATGGCCATTCATCACCCCAGACTCACAAGGTACAAGAAAAGAGGGAAGTAGGCATGGGTCATCAAACCCCACTTTCCTTCTTAAGGCCCACAGGGGTGTCTTTTTTTACTTGCCTTCATTTTCTGGCAAACCTGATTTGTATCCCCTGGCAGACAGCCCCAGCCCGGCCCCCAGAGCTCTCCCCTTCCCTCTCTCCCTCTGTGGTTCACTCTCCACTCCATCCTCTTACAGCTCACCGGGTCTCCAGCCAGCCGCCTTCCGTGGCCTCTGAGATGCCCCACCCCGTCCCCCGCTGTGGTCAGTTAGGCGGCTTCCTCCACGTCAGAGGCCCGGCTTAGTGATGCTGGGCGCAATGTGCCAAGGGTGTGAAGCACCCTGTGAACTCAGCTCTCGGCATTGGCTTTGGGTGTGCTCCTTTTTGCTGCCCCAGGTTTCAGCAGCGGGAGCTGGCGGCATAGGGGGAGGGGCGGGCTCTGACGTAGAGGGTGCTGTGGCAGAGGTGGGAGAGCTGCCCCCCAAGCTGGGGTGCAGACCCCTTGGAGCGTAACTGGGGCCAGGCGGAGGTCAAAGGACCTTTCACCCTTCCCAGCCAGACTCAGCATCGTCAGCTCCAGGAACCCAGAACACTGCCTTCATGAGCCATGATGATGCCAGGGACCCTAGGGTTTCAGTAGACCCCCTGTCACCAGTCCCACAGCCCAGAAATGGTCCCCAATTTTTACATCAAAACCGAGTCTTTTTGCCTTAAACGTGGTCCTTTCCCTAGGTCCTTTCCCTAGCGTTCTTGTAAACAAAATTCTACTTATTATAATAACAGACATTTCTTAAATGCATCAGATCAGTGCCTCTCATCAGAGCAGCGCTTCTCAAACTTGAACGTGCTTTTGAATCACACGGGATTTCATTTAAATGCAGATTCTGGTTTGGAAGCTCTGAGTGCAGCCCGAGTGTTTGCAGGTCCAACACGTTCCTGGGTGCTGGTGCCCCAGAGACCTCACACTCTGAGTAGCAAGGCATTGTATCAGATGACTGATGGTTTGTCGGTGATGGCTCAGTGTCACAAATAGGCCAACTGAGGCACAGTCTTTTATTGGTGTGATCGTGCAATGTGGGAATCTGGCCTGGCAATGGTGAGTTTCAGCCATCAGGTTTTCGTTAGGCCAGTGGTTCTCGGCCTAGCTGCCGGTGAGAATCATATGGAGAGGAGCTTGTAAGATACACTGTTGCAGGCGTCCTACCCCAGACCAGGCGAATTCCATTCTCCAGGGACAGGCTGGCCTTCCTTTTGAAAGAACTCCCCCGTGATTCTGCTGTGTAGCTGGCCGAGCACCGCTGTCAGGAAGACACTTCAGAGATGCCCTGACTGTGCCACTGTTGTCACTTACGAACCAGCTGGCCCTGCCTGTCATCCCGTGAGCCAGTCGAGAAATTTGTACCAGGTACTGGACTCTTTGCTGAGTAATGTGGAAAGACGCGGAGCTCGAGCTGGTGGGAGAACACCAAAGCAGGAGATGGGGCAGCTGAGACAGTCCCTTCACCTTGCCTGGCCTCGGGTTCCCCTCCGGGCAGTGAGGAAGCTATTCTGGATCATCCCGGGGGCCCTTTCTTATACTCCTCTCCCCCATTCTGGGGTTCCTCCTGGAGCACCTCCACACTAACCAAGTCATCCCAGTGGGAGCCCAGAGCTGCCTCTCCTCGCCACTGGCCCTACTTCTCTCTGTCCTCAGATTGTCTCCCCACGTCCTTTTTCTTTCTCTTGGCCTCCGACGTTTGTCAGGGCAGCGATCGTATGTTCCAGGAGAAGGACCTCACTCTCAGCCCACGTTGTCGGGAGTGGGCCAGAGGCCGGGCCACCCAGTAAAGCTGGGAAGTCGATTTGTTTCATTGCCCAGCCCGCCTCACTCCCCCTCTCCCACCCAGCCCCTGACTTCGTGTTTGTGGGGTTCCACACCCACCGGAGTGTGTGCGCGGATGCTTTCTGACTTCCGGGAGAATATGGGTTGCCCAGGACCCCTGGGTTATGGAAGTCACCAAAACTCGCCTTGATCGTCACCAGGGAATAGTGGAATGATAATAGGGCGGAGGGGTGGCGGGGGAGGCTCCAGCTTCACCCAGGGAAGAATGAGCATGCCTCTTTTATGGGACCTTTGGAATGAGAGGAATTGGAGGCCTGAGCCCCCTCCACCCGGCACTGCCCTGTCACCACCCCAAGCCTTCCACTTGGGCTCAGGGAGTGCTCCTTCTCCAAGATATGCCTGGGTAGTACAAGTTCAAGCCCTCCTCTGTTGAAATGTGTGTGCCCTGTTTAGCCAAGAGGTGTCTGCATCTGAGCTATGCAGAGCGA